TGCCTGCCTGCCTGCCTGCCTGCCTGCCTACCTGCCTGCCTGCCTGTCTGCCTATCTGTCTGTCGGTCTATCTCTCCCTTTCCCAATCAAATGGTTTCTTCTTCATTCACTTTCTTCGTGAAAAGGTCAACTTTCAAATCGACAGCGGGCTGTTGCCTGCAATGTGATTGACCTCAACACCGACAGACAGACATTTATGGACGAAGGACTTAGACTAACCTCTCACCAGAGAGGGTTTACAGTATTACTGTATACATGTACTCTGGTCTAACCGAACTGAGCACGTACGTGCGGTCATGCAGTGCAAGCTCTCACATTTCCCCGACAATCACATCAGCAGATTACACGTCTATCTCGAGAGCTGGCTGATGGGCCCCTGCTCAGGCGCACCGTACCAAAACGAAACGTTTATCTGGCAAACCCCTCACTACTTACAACCGTCGGAAGCAGAATCTACATAAACCGAAATGCTGTAGGTGGTTGGCGGGTGCTCTGGTGTGGTTTGCTTTTTCTTTTTCCTATCAAACATCTATCGTCCTTATCTCCCCTTCTTCTGTTTTATGTTTGTTACTCTCTTGTAACATCTCTCATCTTCTGGCGCTCACATGACCTTATGCAGTTGCGAGCGCCGCAAACCCTCTACTAAAAACTAAAAACCGAAATGCTAAAACAACAACGAAATCCGAAGAAAAAAGAAACGACACCAAAACCCCACCCAAATAAGAAAAAAAACAAAACAAACCCAACAGTTATGCATTCAGCTTATGACTTTTATCAAACTTCAACAAAGCATGGTTTATATCTTTCAAAAGCAGAATGTACCCGTAGGCCACTGACCTCTGACATGCATCTGTCTGTGAGTATTTTTCAAAAGAAAAGGTTCGAAAATGGCTCCTGGCCACACTAAAAGCCTGAGCAGAGAAAATCTCCTTCGTTTGGAGGTTCAATGGGAGACTGTACTGTGTCTGGATCTCAGAAGGCGACAATGGCTATGAGACACAACGTCCACACCATTTCTTTTTACATTTCGGGTTGTTGGTTTGTTGTTGTTGCAGTTCGTATGTTTTTGTTTTTTTTTTGTTTTTTTGTTTGTTGTTGTTTTGTTTTTGTTTTGTTGTTGTTGTTGTTGTTTTGTTTTTGTT